CTCCCTCTCCCTCTGTCCCCACTCGCGCTCTCTCTCAAATAAATAAAATCTTTTTAAAAAATCAAATAAATGCAGTCCCAAAAAGAAAACAGTAGAGCATAAAATCAATATTACAGGAGCTTAATGTTGGCAGAACACTTATTCTCACCTTGCATATGAGGAACTCTGCTGGAGAAACACTTCTGGCATATTCTCCTATCCTCTCATTCTCCCTCCCCCAGGGAAGATCTTCTAAATGGGTTAAGAGCAGGTACCCATGGATCATCCCCTTCCTCCCCCACAATGGCTTTCCTATAGGCAGTACACATTCTGCCATGTTCCTATACTGTAGTCTAAAAGGAGAGCACTCAGAAACGAGCATCTGGCAACACAGGTTGGCTGATAACCTTACGAGAAGTCTTAGTGGTCTAGTGGGAGACAGAAGCCTGATCACCACGGGCTAGAGAGAATGGGAGATAAGTGCAGACCGGAGCACAGACTTTGCTGTGCTGAGTAGTAAAGGAATGGGGCTGGCTGGGAGGGAGACATCAAGGGAGGTTTTCTGCTTCCTGTTTATTGCTTTATGTTAGGATACCAATGGGAATTATTGGTGAAAAAGAAGACTAAAGATGCAGAAAACTGGGACTCCTGGGTGTCTCAGTCGGCTAAGGGTACTGGGATCAAGGACTGCATCAGGCTCCCTGCTCTGACAAAATTAAAAAAAAAAAAAAAGAAAGAAAAAGAGGGGCGCCTGGGTGGCTCAGTGGGTTAAAGCCTCTGCCTTTGGCTCGGGTCATGATCCCAGGGTCCTGGGATCAAGCCCCACATCGGGATCTCTGCTCAGCGGGGAGCCTGCTTCCTTCCCCTCTCTCCCTCCCTGCCTCTCTGCCTACTTGTGATCTCTGTCAAATAAATAAATCAAATCTAAAAAAAAAAAAAAAAAAAAAAAAAAAAAAAAAAAAAAAAAAAAAAAGAAAAAACAGAAGACAGAAAAATGACCATAGGAGTGGGAAACATCTGTAGCAGTGAGTTCCTTGAGTAGGACTGGGATGGAAGAAATCCATGTCGTAAGTGGAAAAGTTGTACTTTCTTTTTTTTTTTTTTAAGATTTTATTTATTTATTTGACAGAGAGAAATCACAAGTAGGCAGAGAAGCAGGCAGAGAGAGAGGAGGAAGCAGGCTCCCCGCTGAGCAGAAAGCCCGATGTGGGGCTCGAATGTACTTTCTTTTCTTTTTTTTTTTTTTAAAGATTTTATGTACGTATGTATTTTTGTATTTAGGCTGAGCCCACGCTCGAGTGCCCACCCTGGGGGAGGAGCAGAGAGGGAGGGAGAAAGAACCTCAAGCTGACTCCCAGCTGCACGTGGAGTGCAGGGTGGGGGGTAGCCCCCTCTTCAGCACCGCCCATCTCACGATCCTGAGATGGTGACCTGAGCCAAAACCAAGAGTCAGATGTTTAATCGACTGAGCCACGCAGTCACCTCGAAATTGCAGTTTCTTTTCTTTTTTTTATTAAAGATTTTTATTTATTTGAGGAAGAGTGAGAGAGAGATAGCACGAGGTGGGGGAGGGTCAGAGGGAGAAGCAGACTCCAGTGAGCAGGGAGCCCAATGTGGGATCCTTCATGGGACTCCAGGATCATGACCTGAGCCAAAGGCAGTTGTTCAACCAACTCAGGCACCCAGGTGCCCTCGAAGTTGCAGCTTCTTAGAAGCAAAAATATTTACTCTATTTTAAGGAGGAAATTCAGAGAAAACCTGTGCATATATTATCAAGACAGACTTCATGAAAACGGAGGAATTGCAGTATTAATATCTGATAAAGCAGACTTCAGAGGGAAGAAAGTTCCTAGAGACAAAGGGGGACATTACAGAATGAATAATAAAAGTATCATTCCACCCAAAAGACATACGATCCTAAATGTGTAACTTATGAAGCAAAACTAATATAGGTGAAACGAGAATTAGACAAACCCACAATTATATCTGGGACCTTAACAGTCACCTCTCAGCAAAGGACAGAGTTACAAGCAAAATTAAAGATACAGAAATCTGAACAAACGAGATCTGACTCATGTATGTAAAACACTGCACCCAACAGCAGCAGCATACATGTTTTTTTCAAGTGCCCATGGGACATCATCAAGACAGATCACATCCATGGGCGCCTGGGTGGCTCAGTGGGTTAAGCCTCTGCCTTCGGCTCAGGTCATGATCTCAGGGTCCTGGGATCGAGGCCCGCATCGGGCTCTCTGCTCAGCAGGGAGCCTGCTTTCTCCTCTCTCTCTATGCCTGCCTCTCTGCATACTTGTGATCTCTCTCTCTCTGTTTCAAATAAATAAATAAAATCTTTAAAAAAAAAAAAAAAAAAGACAGATCACATCCTGACCCATAAAACCAACCTCAAATTTAAAAGAACCGAAATCATACAGAGTATGTCCTCCAACAATGAAGGGCACAAACTGGCAATCAGTAACAGAAAGACAACAGGAAAAATTAAGGGAGTTCCTGTGAAGTTTTTTGTTTTTTTGTTTTTTTTTTTTGATGACACACGAAGCAAGGCAGAATGAAGAGAGAGGGAAGAGGAGAAAGATATCAAATTTATCTACTAAAGTAACAATTATTGAGTGCTAACTGTGGGCTAAATATTGTTCTAAACGCTGGGACTAAAGGAGTAAACTCAACAGACAAAGTCTGCTCTCATGACCTTTAAATCGATATAAAATGTCAGGTGAGATAAGAAGAATAAACAGGGTAAAAGAATAAAGACTAACAGTAGGTAAAAACCAGGTTATTATACTGTAAACTGTAGTCAAATGCTGGTCTTTAAATGCAGGGTTCATTATTAAGTTTTACACACACTACTTGTCCTACCATAGTTCTATCTCTAGAATACATTAAAAGAAAATATTTTTTGCAACTTTATTTTCTTGGAAGACCCTATGAAATGTCTTTTCCCTACTACTCACAAAATGTGGGAATGGTTAGCTGTTTTTTGAAGCTGTAATTCTAGCGAGTTAAAAATGTAAAGTAGTTGTTTGTTGGGCTCGCTTGCGACTTCAGTTCTCCTCAACACGAAGCCTCCCAGTAGAACCAGTAAAGTTTTGTAGCATAATATGCAATGGAAGAAAACTGTGTCCAAACAAATTAAGCACTAGCCAGAGTCCTACAAAACACTCCGAGTTTCACTTAGCTGGTTTTGTTAACAAAAAGGAAAAAGAATAAAGTAGCACCTATTGCCCAGCTCCCCGCTCTCCCCTTGGACCCTCTGTACTCAAGTAGTACAAGCCAAGCAATCTGGCTAAGGGTCTCCATGCAAACATGGCAGGCCAAGGATATGCTGCTAAATTTCCTGTTCCATGATTTGGCTGCGCTGGGCTCCCATTTTTTACTTTTAAAAAGATGTTATTTATTTACTTAACAGAGAGGGAGAGAGAGAGAGCACAAGCAGGAGAAGCGGCAGAGGGAGAAGGAGAAGCAGGCTCCCCACAGAACAGAGAGCCTGACGTGGGGCTTGATCCCAGGACCTGAGCGGAAGGCAGACCCTTAACTGACCGAGCCACCCAGGTGACCCAGGGCTCCCGTTTGTTAGATACTAGGCTTGATCTGACTGCAAAAGTCACCTGTGTTTAACCCTGGTTTCAAACGATCATCTAAATATAAGGTTTTAACTGTAGTGGTTCTAGCAAGGGTTGGTAAACTCTAGCCAGCAGGTTAAATCCAAAAGTTTAAAAATAAGTTTTATTGAACACAGTCATGCTGATTGTCCCCCTCTCTGCGGATGCCTTCACATTAGAACTGCAAGGTTAAGGAGTTCTGACAGAGCGCGCCGTGACCTGCAAAGCCTAAATACTATCTGGCCCTTCACGGGAAACATTTGTGGACTCCTCCTAAGAGCACTGCTTCTCGGGCGCCCGGGTGGCTCAGTCGGTTGGGCGTCTGCCTTCCGCTCAGGTCATGATCCCAGTCCCTGGGATGGAGCCCCATGTCAGGCTCCCTGCTTAACAGGGAGCCTGCTTCTCCCCTCCACTTGTTCTCTCAAATACATACATAAAACATTTTTTTTTTTTTTTAAGAGTCTTGTTTCTCTCCCTCGTCTGTATAAAAGATTCTTCCTAACCCACCTCGCCCATTTCTCCGGGCTCAGGGCCCAACTCCAGTCTCCCTCACTCGCTTCTAACTTTCAGAACCACCTGCAGTTCCCTAAACACCCACGTTACCGGCTACTCCCCGCGGCCGCCGCCCCCTCCTTGCCAAACCGATCTCACATGGCCCTTAAAACCTCAGTCCCTGCTCCTCCTGACCAGGGCTCCGTGCTGCCCGCCCTCCACCGGACAGCGCGCTTCCCTCCGAAGGCCGCGGTTCCTCCGAGTCGGCCTCCCCTACCGGTTCTTCAGGCAGAAGTCGTTCCTTTAGCTCCTCGTTCCCGTTCCGTAACCGGTGACCGACACGCAGGCCGCACTGGATACTTGCCGGTGCCGTTTCTGAGCAAACTCTCGCAGCACCGGTCAAAGCCGGCGTGTCCGCGGACGCCCCGCGCGGGAAACGCTCGCGGGCGAGCGAGCGGGAGGCCACCTGCTCCAACACCACCTGTCCCGTTCCTGTCTGCAGACCGTCCGACCGGCAGGCCCCGCCGTGTCCCCGCTTCCGCCGCCGGGCTCACCGCCCCCGGCAGCGGGTAGCCCGGGACAGCCCCGGCCCCGCGCGGCGAGCGGACCGCAGGAAGCGCACAGCGACCCGGCACGCGCGGGCGCCTCCCTCCGCCTCCGCTCGCCGCGCGCCAGGCAGCCCACGCACGTCTGACGACTCCCAGGGTCGCGGGCCGGCGCCGGGGGCTCAGGCGGGAGGGGTGGGCCGGGGCCGCAGTCCGGCGCGGCCGCCTTCCCTCCGCCGAGCGCCCCGCGCGCCCCCGGCCCGGGCCCGGGCCCCCGCCCCGCCTCCCCCGGTCTCCCGGCTCCGTCCCACGCTCCCCGCCCTGCTCGCGTCTCCGCAGCTCCCGTCCCAGACCCGGCGGCTCTCACCTGCGTCCCAGACTCGGCCCTGCGGAAGTCACTACACATCGCCCCGAAGGCTGGGCGAACCCGGCACTCAACTTTCCCGCCACCAGCGCCATTTACCGCGAGCGGCCGAGGCCTCGCAGCCAGTCAAACGCGCTGACCCGCTGACCCGGGCGCAAGCATGCGCACTGCGCCCGCCCAGAGCCAGGGAGGTGAGGGGCATGCGCAGTACTGTTGACGGGCGTCCCTCGCCCGAATGACGTCAGACTCCGTCTCCTAGGAGACCGGAGACAGCTGGTGATGTTTTTCTTGTCTCATAAACTTCAATTCGTTTTTATTAGGTAAAACTAGCAGCATGTACTTTTTTTTTCTTTTTTACTATAAACAAAACAGTTACTGAGTACGAAGGGCTTTTTGTCCGTTTGTGAGTTAAAAGCCTCTGGCTGGCGATACGTGTGATTCAGAGTTAATTCTGAAAACAAAGAATTAAGACTAAGTTTGAAAGAATTTGTGTAATTAAGAAATAATTATAATAATAATAATAATTACAGCTAACACGTATAGTGCTTAGTATGTATCCTTAGTGCGTTATATATAATAATTCATTTAATCCGCACAGTCCTGTGAGGTAGCTACTCTTATCCCCATTTTACAGATGAGGAAACTGAGGCACAATCTTGGCGCACTTTACTCTGATGACCAGAGGGTAGTGAGTCAGCACATTAATGGGAAGTGGGAAAGGAAGAGCATGGACACAAACAGTTCTTCAAAGAAACTTGGATGTGAAGGAAGGAGATAACAGTAACAAGAAAAGTCAAGGAAGAGTCTTTTAAGAAGGCAAAGCCTGGGACATGTTTAAATGCGGACAGGGAAGAGCTGTGGGAACTTACTGGTTAAAGAGAACACTTGGGGTGCCTGGGTGGCTCAGTGGGTTAAGGCCTCTGCCTTCGGCTCAGGTCATGATCTCAGGGTCCTGGGATCCAGCCCCACGTCGGGCTCTCTGCTCAGCAGGGAGCCTGCTTCCCTCTCTCTCTCTCTCTGCCTGCCTCTCTGCCTACTTGTGATCTCACTCTCTGTGTCAAATAAATAAAATCTTTAAAAAGAAAAAAAAAAAAAAGAAAGAGAACACTTGATGGAGTCAGGACCTACAGACAATGGAGTGTAATGCAGGTGTAAGAAAGCTTTAGCTGTGGGGGGGGGCATCTCTTTCCCCCCCGTGAGTAGAGACAAGGGTTGAGAATGGGTGCAGATGAAGATAAATTTGGGGATGGGACGCTCAAAGAGCTTGCAAAAGGTCAAGTCTGAGGTAGAAAGCAAGGTAGTAGAAATCCAAGACTCCTCTTGTGAAAGTCAGTTCCTTTTGTGAAAGTTGAATTCCTCTTGTGAAAGTCAAGTGTGCGCCTACGCTGATGCCTGGATTTAATGTTCCCATTGGCAGGCTCTGCCACAAACCTTCCTCAGAAGTCCATTCTTGGTTCATTCTGTGCACAGAGCAGTGGTGATTGACCTCAGTACTCCATGGCGGTAATTGTTTTAACCAGGATAATTTTCCTTAACACTTACTGTCTACAATCACATTTAACACACAACATATATTAGTACTATTCTTTCATTGCACAGAGCTTTTCTCCCTGAGTTACAATTTTCTTGAATCTCAGAATAAATTTTCTGAAATCATTCTGGATTTTGGTAACACACACACTTGAAATTTTAGATCTGGTTCCGTCCCTTATTCCCATGATACACATCGCTCACCACCCTGGACCTTAGTTATTGTTGTGCTGTGGTGATGAAACTATGTACTTTAAAAAGCTAGCACAGCATCTAGTACAAAATATTGATTCTCTTCCTACCTCCCTATCTTTCTTAGATCATATCTTAGCATAGTGCCAAAGCTACAATAACTACACAGTCCCCATCTCCTGTTAACCATGATGGCAGTGATTAGGGCCGGATTAAGAGATGAGCCTGTCTGGCAGTTGTCCAGGGTGGTACATCATAAAAGCTGCTAAAACCTCTCTATGTGCTAAAACATCACAGGAATATTCGATGGAAAAAATGATTTTTAATTGCAACTCTTTTCAAGCAGGATGCTGTATGTGGTTGGGAAGAAAAGACACTTGGAAAGATGGTGAAACAGTCACCATCAAAGACACCTTTGAGTAACAGAGGTTTACTATGTGTAGGTTTAACTGATTGGGATAGAAGGTAAGCTGAACAAGCTGGTGTGTTACCACCACCAACATCCTCCTACTCTGCCTTCTCCCCACCCGCTCCCACACAAGGAAGCAGGATTGTGAATCTCTAAAAATAAGTCAGCAAATATTGAAAATGCATTTTTTAGAAGACGTGCCAACTTATTTGCTCCCTGAGGCAAGTCTGCAAATCTTAATGTAATTCTGATGATATTGATGATAGCGATGGCTTGTGCTATAACCCCTTTTGAACTGGGGTCCTGGATTTCCTATCTTAGAAATGTGAAGTCTAGGTTTTCTAATTCTGTAAGATATCCAAGGCGTTTGTGTAATGAACAGCCATGGAAGATGGATACAGTGTCTCCCTCAGGAGCAAAGTCCTGCTTATTGTCCATTAGAAAAGATTTGGGTTCCCTGAGCTGAAATGTCCTCCCTTATAATGCAACCCACTCCGTGTAAGGCGTTATCTTACCCTCTTCACATTCCCTGTGCTTACCCGGGCTCTTAGAACCAGCATAACGAGATGTTGATACTCTGGCTGCTGGTTTGGACTCTGTGTGTGTGTGTGTGTGTGTGTGTGCGTGTGTGTGTGTGTGTGTGTGTGTGTGTGTGTGTGTGTGTTTTAAGATTATTTATTTTGGAGAAAGACTGTGTATGTGTGGGAGCATGGGAGGGGCGAAGGGAGAAGGAGAAGGAGAGAGGGAATCTCATGCAGACCCTGCTAAGCATGAAGCCCAACACAGGGCTTGATTCCTGGTCAGGATCCCTGGACCCTTAGGTCATGATCTGAGCTGAAACCGAGAGTCAGATGCTTGGGGCACCTGGTTGGCTCAGTCGTTAAGCATCTGCCTTCGGCTCAGGTCATGAACCCAGGGTCCTGGGGTTAAGCTCCCCCCTTCTCAGGAGGGGGCCCGCTTCTCCCTCTGCCCCTCACCTTACTCGTGCTCCCACTTTCTCATTCTCTCTCTCAAATAAATAAAATCTTAAAAAAAAAAAAAGAAGTCAGATGCTTAACAAACTGAGCCACCCAGGCACCCGCTGACTCTTTTCTGTCTTTTGTCAGCATCCATGAAATTGTGGTAGGCTAACTCATTAGCTGACTAGAAGAGTAAACCCACACTAAGCAGTCTGATAAAGTAAAGATTTTGAGTGAGCAAAGGAGAAGTTCAGAGAAGCAGGAATGTCATTATAATTGAGAAAAGCAGGGGTGCCTGGGTGGCTCAGTGGGTTAAGCCTCTGCCTTCGGCTCAGGTCATGATCCCGGGGTGCTGGGATCGAGCCCCGCATCGGGCTCTCTGCTCAGCAGGGAGCCTGCTTCCTCCTCTCTCTCTGCCTGCCTCTCTGCCTACTTGTGATCTCTCTCTCTCTCTGTCCAATAAATAAATAAAATCTTTAAAAAAAAATAATTGAGAAAAGCAGAATTTAGCCAAAATAGATAAGCATGTCTTTTATTCTGACCAAAAGATTTTTTTATGCCTTGTTAAGCTTTCTTGATGAAGTTTTGGGCCTAATCTCTAGGATTTGACCAACTAGAAATTTAGTCCTGGTAATAGTAATGCCCACTTTTGGGTTCGAAGAAGCAATAATCTGGAACTGATACTAATGGCCATTAACATCAATAGGAAAAACTGGAATGACAAAGTTTCATGAAAAGATATATTTTCACTCATCTATCTTTAAAAAGTTGACATAATATCATACACCTATGAAATATTTCTCATAGATAATACTAAAGTTGCTCATGGTATAAATTAGAATGTTTTGGTTACAAGTCACAGAACACTCAACTCTTATTGATTTAAAAAAATGAGAGGGGTCCTTGGCTGGCTCAGTCACTAGAGCATGTAACTCTTGATCTTGGGGTTGTGAGTTCAAGTGCCATGTTGAGTGTAGAAATTACTTAAAAATAAAATTAAAAATATAACAAATATATACATTAATAAAGAGATTTATTGGGTCACGCAGATAAAAGTCCAGAGGTAAGATAGGTTTCAAGGTTAGTTTGTTAAGAGGCTGAATTGGGCAAACAAGTACCTAGTTTCTTTTTTCTCTTGTCACATTCATATTCTCTACCTTGGCCTTTATAGGGCTATGTGTCTGCATCATACAATAGAGCAATAGTCTCTTACCTATTAGTAAACATTAATAAATTAATAAACTCAGGAAATAAGGTTGGGCTGTTTAGCTGGGGCCTGAGTTAACATTCTCTACCCCCAGACCCCGGGTTGGAGGTGTATTCTTTCAACATGTATGGGCTCTGTGTAAGGTGTGGGTCACCGTAAATAATGAAGCAACAACATCCCAGTAGTTAGGAGAATTGGGAGTGGGTGCTGGGGAGGCACCCTCTATCTCATTATATCCTCCATAATGAGGACACATATATAGAAAGCACCGTATCTAGGTCATCCCCCTCTTCCATTCCATTCACGTCTCTGCAAAGCAAATCTTTCCTTACATGTAAGAAAACCAATATTTGAGAAAGAAGGCCTTTACACTTGAACAGCCGCCCTGGCCAGGCTGAGCTTCTTGGCCCTCACACTGTCCCTAATGAAAATTACGTGTCCGCTGAACTGGCTTAGTTCGTTAAGTGCACACCTGTTTGCATGGGCCATCTTGCACAACATGGTTTTGAAATTCCTTCAATTTTAATATTCTAGAGAAATCACTTCTTTATAAAAGAATGTTCAAGGGGCAAACGGGGCACTCAGTGGGTTAAGCATCTGCCTTTGTCTCGGGTCATGATCCCAGGGTCCTGGGATCCAGCTCTATGTCAGGGGACTGGTGGGAGGGGGTTGGTCCCTGCTCAGTGGGGAGTCTGCTTCTCCCTCTCCCTTGCTGCTCCCCCTGCTTATGTGTTTGCTTGCTCTCTCTCTCTCCCCTTGCCACCCCAGCAAAGAGAGAAATAAATAAATCTTGTCTTTTTTTTAAAGAATATTCAAGGTGCTCTC